ACTTTTCCAAGTTTTGAAAACTATTCCAAACGTGAAATACTGTTAGCATTGGCACTTTTTGACAAACTATGGAAACTAGGGGGGAAATGACTATTATTATATGAGGTATGTTTACAACTTAAAGGAGGTTAGCTAGATGTGGTGTTACATGCCTATGATCCTAGTACCCAGAGGCTAAAGCACCACTGCCCTGAGTTTGAGGCCAAAATGGGGCACACAGTGAGTATTAGGTCAGCCAGGGCTACACAGCAAGATCTTATCTCAAAAGCAACAAGCTCAAAACAAAACAAAACAAGAGGAATTCCAAAATACAGAAAACCTCATTTTATCAATACCAACTTTCCTAATACAAGCAGAATTCTCTCCGCCCCCCAAAACAACTGTTACTTGAGATGTTAGGACTTCTTTGTATACTTACATGATACATTTTAAAGGAACATTAATGAAGCCATACCTCACAATTCCTATAACTTGCCTTCTGGGCCTCATTCACCCCCTAATCCAGCAGTGTGGCAAAGTACTAACACCTCACCATTTCACCACTAGTCATCTCCGACTTCTACTGCATGTGACACTGGTGACCATGCCTCTGTGGACTTGTGACACTGCTCAGGTGGCATGAAATAAACAAATATTGGTGGTGTGTGATTTGTAACATCACTCTGCAATTATCGGATCCATGTTATCGTCATCAAGCCCTGGTGCTAGAGCAGGAGCATGGGGATAAATGAGGAAAACCGGGAAAGAATTTCTTAGAGTAAGAGCTTATTAATAAATACATTCTTTTTTTTTTTTTTTTTTCTTCCCTGTAAGATTTGGTAATTTGGGGGGCTGGAAAGCTGGCTCAGCGGTTAAGAGCACCTGCTGCTCTTGCAGAAGACTGTAATTCAGTTCCCAGCACCCACATGGCATTTACAACTTCCTGTAACTTCAGTTCCAAGGGATCCAATGCCCTCTTTTGCCTTTCATTGGCACCAGGCACACACATAGTGTATTCACATACTTGCAGGAACTCACACATAAAATAAAATAGTAAGACTTCATAATTTCAATAGCTCAAATAATGAACTCTTGAATAATGAGGGTTTGATTTTATGCTCAGTTCTCAAATCTCTAGCCCAGGTCACTCTCCTAAACTGCAAACGTACTTCCCTTGAACTGCCGCCATTCCCTCTTGCCCATATGGCAAATCTATACTCCTCTTTCTATTTCAGTATAGACGTCACCTCCTCAGTAAAGCCAGGAAGCACCTCCCCTCAGGGTGAGGACATAAAACGTACTAAAAACCACTGAAAGGCCTACCATTTTATCTGAAAGTCAAGTCTTCCTAACAACAACAACAGAAAGATTATTTAAAATGCAAGCTGCAGAGGTGAGGAAGAGCAGAGAAACAGTACCCAGAGGAAGAGGAATGGTTTCTTACTGTCTTAAAGGAAGGAAGAGGAGTTGGTCAGGGGAGCAAATTTTAACAATCTAGGCAAGGAAAGAAGGGCATGTTAGCTAGGAGTAAAGACAACTGACTTGTGCCTTTGTGTACCTACATGAGAGGCAAGGAGGGGTAGTGATGAAGTTAAAAGGTTAGGGAAATGCCAGATTGCCAAATTCTAGAAGCATACTTTTTCTCTTGATAATTATTTGCTTATCTTACTGCTCAGGCTTGTTTAAAAAAAATTACTTTCATATATATATATATATATATTTCTAAATGATTTCTCAGAAAGATTCTACCAATGAAAATAAAAGCATTTTAACTGCATCAGGTACTTAGAGCATCTTGTTCAGGCAAAGGTTTTACAAATCTCTTCAGTGAGAATCACCTCGGCAAAGGGCAACTGCATGGTTCCTTCTCTTGGGAAACCAAACTGCTTTCACGTTTATCCTCATTTATTTTTGCATTTTGTTTATTTTGTGTATATGCAGCAGTACAGTGAGCCTGAGCGGTCAGAAGACAATTTGTGGAGCTGGTTCTCTCCTTCCCGTAAGTGGGTCCTGAGGACCGAACTCAGGTTGTCAGGCCTGGGGACACATGCTTTTACACACTAAGCCATCTCACTGGCCCTATTCTCATTTTTCAGCACACACTACTGAGAGAAGGAAAGCTCAAGAATGACTGCTTTAAATGCAAAAAAAAAAAAAAAAGACAGGAAAATTAGTGTTTTTCTTCATTCCAAGATGCTTATTTTTCACAATACAACTTTGAAACAAAATGGTAGAAGACTCTAGACAAAAATCAATAAGCAAAAAGGTAGCAGAATTAAGCTAAAAATCTGTAATTATTAATGTATACTAGCAGAAATATAGTATTTTGACTCTTGGTTCATTAATGCAATATGTAAGACCAACCTTTTACTGCGCTCATCCTAAAGCACAGAGTGCACACGGAACACCTTTCCTACACTCAAGAAGTATACAATCAGGGGCTGGAGAGACAGCTCAGCTGTAACAGCACCACTTAGAAAAGACAAGGTCTGTTCCCAGCACCCATGTAGGGCAGCTTACAATTGCTGTAACACCAGCTCTTTGATATCCAATACTTTCTTCTGGCCTTGGCCAGCAAAAAGCACGATAAAAAAAGAAAAAAGAAGCTGGGCATGGTGGTGCATGCCTTTAATCCCCCAGCACTTGGGCACTTGGGAGGCAGAGGCAGGAGAATCTCTGTGAGTTCGAGGCCAGCCTGGTCTACATAGCGAGTTCCAGGCAAGCTGGGGCTACAGGGAGACCCTGTCTCAAAAAGACAGGAAAAAAAAAAAAAAAAAGTATATGAAATTATCAGAAAAAAAGCGATGGGACAATACGGAACGAATTGGAGGGGAGGGAGTGGGCATGAATTTGATCAAAACACTTTATATGCATGTATGAAATTCTCAATAAATTATTAGACAAAAAAAAGATATGCTGATTCTGCAGGCCCCATGGAAGACCTGGGTAAGGCTGTAATTAAAGAGCTGGCAGAATTTCATAGGAAGAGACTGTGGCAGAAGGCACTCCAAACACAGGAAGGAAAAACCAGAGAAAGCCCCAGAAACCAGTCACTGAGGCTCAGTGACAGAAGCAAGGCAAGGATAATGAGAAAGAATGCTAGAAAAGTAGATAGGTACAAAAATACCGAGTTCAAGCCAAAGAACAACAGTAACACGGGGTTAATTGAAGGCCAAGTTAAAAAGCAAAGGCAGGACTGACAAGCAAAGGCAAAAGAGGCTTGTCTCTTGACACTGATATTTCAAGAAGATTAAACTGATGCTGAGCTATAATGGTTAGACTGAAGTGTGGAGAAGTGCTAGTCTACAGTCCAGAGTCAAGTAGTCAAGTGCCCAAACTAGGTCAGAACAGCAACAATGCCAAGAAAGGATTGTCTGCCCTTTGAATGCATAATGGTTTTGGATGAGGACAATGTTCTTGAGAATGAAACATCAGCTTAGCATTAGTAGCCTCATTATTGCCTGCACAACACTTTTATTTGCTTATCTATATTTTATGTGTATGAGCATTTTATCTTCATGTGTGTAAATGCACAGTCAGGTTGCAATACCCCTAGAGGCCAGGAGAGGAAGTCAGATAACTTGGAACAGGAGTTACAGACTGTTGTTAGTAGCCATGTGGGTATGGGGAAGCAAACCCAGGTCCTCTGCAAGAGTAGCCAGTGCTGTTATCCCCTGAGCAATGTTTCCAACCTGCATGCTTTCCTAACCCACAGTAGATCCTCAATAAAAAGAAGACAACTTGCAAATTCTAAATGGAATCTTTGCTAATGCCAACACAACTAAGGTGTTAGTCTGTTTCACCCATTCATACTGTAGTCAATCTGACATCTCTTAATTGCATTTTTGTACAGCCTAAGTGGTTCTAGATCTCTAGTTTGCAAAACACTAACCAAAACAGAAAACCATCTAGTTTCCACACACACACAAAAACTTTGCTGGAAAACACTATTTACTGCAAGAAGTTTTTATTTTAGGCAGCAATCAGCATACTTCCACCTTACTTAGTGAACCCACTATGCCATTAGTGAAACCTCAAGCTGCTTCTACATTTCCAAAGTTGTGCAAAGGGTCCAGCGTTGTGCAAGAGTCACCACTGAAATCAGACTCTGGTATATTAATAGTTTTAACACCTGAACAAGCCTTAGGTTTATTATTAGAGTCAAAGTAAGGCCCAAATCACAGGTATGCAAAATATTCCACAATGAGTTTGTTTATTTACCTGAGAAATTTATCAGGATGCTATTTTTAAGTAAGAACCATTATTTTGAGCTTCAAATGGGCGCGAGGTCACCCGAAAATCTGCAGCTGTAACCCTGGACTTGACAGGACTGAAAACTTAGCGTCCTCAGTCGGCACGCACATAGCATGTCCACACCCAGAGCACTGACTGGCCTTGCATTACTATCAAATCACAACCCCGGCATACACGTGGCAAAAGTCGCCAGAACTCTGGTGCTTTAATGACCCTGAAAGGAATCACCCTGCCACCGAATCACATGATCTGACTTATTCGGACTAGGGAGTGGAAGATGTTAAAAAAAAACATGTTTTTAAAACGATTTTTCTCTTCTCGGCGAGCTGTCCCACACCAGGGTCGCCTCGCCCAGGCCTAGGCGGAAGCGTGCAAGGCCGGGAAGGTGGGACCGGCCAGGAAAGCAAGAGCTCTGGCCCGTCGCCCTCCGCTCCGCTCTGCCTCCCCAGTCCTTGCTAGCCGCGGACAGAGCGCGGGGGCGGGAGCCCGGGTGCAGGCGTCCGCCCGGCCACCCCGCTGTCACACTCGCTCCCCACGGCGTCGGAAACGGGCGCGGGGCGCGGGCTGCAGCGGGCCCGGGCGGAGCAAGGCCAGGCCCCGGCCAGGCCGCTCGCAGTGCCCACGTCACCAGCTCCAGCACTGCGGAAATGGAGCCGGGCGGCCGGCAGGGAGGTGCCGGGCCGACTCGGACCTGAGGCCAAGCCGCCGCCGCTGCCGCCGTTTGCCCCTCTGCCGGGCCCGGGATCGCCGTGGTCGGCCGCCCTCACCTGTGTCGCCGATGATGATGTACTTGAAGAGATAGGCGTACGCCATGGCCGCGGCCGCTCCGTGCCAGGGCTCACGGCTCCTCCTCCTGCTGCTGCTCCTCCTCCGCGCCCGTCACCCAGCGCCGCTCCGCCAAACCGGGCCCTGTACGCCGTCCGCGCCGTCGGCCGGCAGCACAGGCCAGCAGCAAGGGGTCGAGGGGAAAGCGGACGAACTGACACGACGAGCTCCGCACACAGTCGCCCAGCCCTTCGGAACAATAACAGCCGCCGCGGTGCCTCCGCCCCGCCTCCGCGCCGACCCGGAAGTGCTGCAGCCGCCGGCACCGCCGGAGGAGAGGGGAGGAGCCGTGGCCGCGCCCGTCGGCCGGAGCCCGCCCACCCTGGGAGCTCCGCCCACAGCAGCCCCGGCGACTCAGCGAGCCCGGAGCACCAACGGTTCCGCAGTCGCGGCCCTACGACCGGGAGTTGTTGGGCGATCCAAGAGTCCGGGATTCCATCGCCGCCCCGCGGGCGGGTGCCGTGGCCTTTCTCCAGGTTGTGGACGCGCGGGACACGTCGGGGGAAGGGAGAGAGAGCGTTCGATATCGGGCCCCTCCCGACTACTGGAAAGGTGTCTGGGAATGTGGGAACTCCACGGTGTGGGCTTGCCGTGCTAAAAAGTACTCTGGGATGCTGGTGTTTGGGGGTCGGAGTTTGACAACAAAAATATAAGTATTTTTGTAATAAATTGGGCTGAAGTCATCATGGTATGCCCCTATAATGGAATACCATGCTGTTTTGCAGTTCTTCAAAAATGATCTACATAGTTCCAGGACAGCTGGGGCTACAGGGAGACCCTGTCTCAAAAAGACAAAAGAAAAGAAAAGAAAAGAAAACCCGCAAAAGCAAGGCAAGTCTGTGTATAGATATAGTCAAATAGATACATATTTGCATGTTATGTATTGTAGAACACGATAAGCTATATAATAGCTACATATATGTTTAATCATATTCTGTGTGTATATTGTGCATATAAAACAACGATATAATGGGCATAATCAATTTGAAAGGAAACATCAGTTATTAAGTGACAAGAATTTTTTGTGCAGCTTGAAATTTTTTGCTGTTGAATGTATACTATATGCATTGCCAGTAGTATCAATTAGAGGTGGTCCCAGTTGTAAAAAAGCACAGGTTTTGGAGAAGGTGGAGGACAGAATTTTAAGTATCTGGAGTAGTTTTCTAGAGGCATGATGTCTGAACCAGACATGAGTAAGAGTGTCAAAAAGACAAACATTAGTACAAGCCAGGCATGGTGGCACACCTTATAATCCCAGCACTTGGGGAGCGGACGAAGGAGTTATCAGAAGTCCTAAGACATTTTCCACAACATCAAGTGTTTGAGGCCAGCCTGGACTACATGAGACCCTGTCTCCAAAAAGTGGGTCCACAAGAGGGCACAGCAGGTAAAAGCACTTGCTGCATAAGTCTGCCAACCTGAGTTTGTTACCTGGAACACACAGTGGAAGGGGACAACTGAACACACACACACACACACACACACACACACACACACACACACAGTCTAAAAAGAGAAGTTTGGGGGAAAGCAACCAAAGTTTAAGCATGAAGAACGGAATAGAATATGAACAACAATTTGTGGATCTGTTCAGGAAATTTAAAGTTGAATAAGGAAGCTAATTCAATGGTTCAAGCTCTCTTCTCTTGGCAGTGGAGAGAATCATTGCAGAAGTGAGTGGGTGGGATTAGTGGCCACCTCCTACTGTCTGCTATTGTCTCTCTTTGGGAAGCTGCATTGTGTTACTACTATTGACACCACCATGCTGGATGGTTGTAGTTTCTTGCTACATCATTTGCATGGCTTTGAAAGTGGGAATTCACTGGGTTTAGGAGAGAGAAGATTCCTCCCCAAGGCCTCCAGGTTTAAGGCTCTTTTGACCTTCCAATATAAGTAGCTTTAATCCAAGGCTTTACTGAGTGGTGGACCAGAAACTCAGGTTCTTACTCTAATGGGCGTGGCCTTTACCATCCCAGCCTCAGTAGGACAACTCTATAGAATGAGGAAGCCTAGCCTCCTTTGGGATCAGTAGCATTCTGCTAGAGGAGATAGCTAACCAAAGAAGTTGCTTGTCCTAGGTCATTATATGTATAGAACTTTATACAGTAAGCACAGGAAACGTGATGGGAAAGAGGCTCAGAATAGGATGTTAGCAAAAGTCACAGAAATATATGTACAGCTCTAGAGGAAATGTGCTATGATAAACTTAGGAAACCTGGCTTCTGGTTTTGGCTCTGTGTTGATTAGATGACTTAACAAGTCATTTGGCTTTTCAGTGTATACATCTATACAGTGGATCTGAACTTTCTTAATTTTATGTCTATCCAACTTCCAGATGTAAAGGTACCCAGTAAAGGTGATAATCCTTCCCTTGTAAAGATGCCAAGGCACAGTGTTGATGTGCAGAGCTGTTATTTGTGAGCAGGGATTGTAGAGGTCAGTTGTTACACAGTACTATAATCTAATGGAAAGAACAGAGACTTGATTTTCTTTCTTTTGAATTTTTTTAGTACATTAATTTTGTGTACATGTATGAATATGAGCATCATGCTGGTGCTTGCGGAGGTCAGACTACAACCTGTGGAATTGAAGTAGGTTTTCTCCCTGCACCATGTGGATCCCAGGGACCAAACTCAGGTTGCTAGTCCCAGTGGCATGTATCTTAATAACACTGAGCCATCTCAACAGCCCAAGGACTTACTCTGAAATCTTTCTCTGCTTCTGATTCGTTCTCTGGAAAATGTGGATGATAGCTGTTTTACAAAAATCAACTTAGGGCTACAGAGATGGCTCATTTGGTTAAGTGCTTCCTGCACAGACATGAGAGTTTAGATCCCCAGCACCTACGTAAAAGCTGGGTTTAGTGGTGCTTACTTGTAATCTCAGCACTGGGGAGGAAGAGACAGGAAGATCCTGCTGAATAACCAGTCTAACTGAATTGGCAAGTTCAGGTTCACTGAGAGACGCTCTTAAGAAATAAAGTGGAGAGCAATTGAGGAAGATAGCCAACATCAGCATCTGTCTTCTACACACACACACACACACACACGCACACACACACGATGAAATCAAATATCAACGTAAGAGCAAGTAAAAAAATGTGTGAAAGGGGCTGTAGAGATGGCTCAGCGGTTAAGAACACTGGTTGTTCTTGCAAAAGACCTGGGTTTGAATCCCAGCACCCACCCACATGGCAGCCAACAACTGTCCATAACTCCAGTTCCAGGGGATCCGACAGTCTCTTCTGATCTCTGCTGGCATTGCACAACATGGGTGCACTTACCTACACGCAGACAGTACATGCATACACATAAAACAAAAATAATAAAAAAGAAATGTGTGAAAAAAAGAAAATATAAAATATTTTAAACATTATTAAAAATAAGGCATAGGAATGTGGTTCAGTGACAGTGCTTGCCCAGCCTGCTAAAGGCCCTGAGATTTGATCCCTGGCATAGTAAAAATTTAAAAATTTAATTTTTTAATTATTTTTATTTATGTTATGTTTATGAGTGTATGCTGTGTGTACAGGTATCTGTAGAGGGTGGGTGTCCTATCCTCCTGGAGCTTGAATTACAGGAGGTTGTAGGCTACCTGGCATGGGGACTGGGAATCAAACTCTGATCCTGTGCAAGAGCAGCAAGCACTCTTAACTGCTGAGTCATCTATCCAAGCTCAAAAAAAAAATTTTTTTTGAAACAGGATCTCACTATGACCTGGCCTTGACCTTACAGAGATTCATCTGCTTCTGCCTCCCAAGTGCTGGTATTAAAGGCATGGCCACCATATCAAACCTTCCAACATTTTTAAAAATAAGAGAATATATATACTTAATATATAAAATTACTAGTGTTACGTACTTTTTAGAAATTATGGCACATACCTTTAATCCCAGCTTTTAATATCAGCACTCGGGAGGCAGAGCAGGCATATCCCTATGAGTTGGAGGCCAGCCTGGTCTACATAGCAAGTTCCAGACCAATCGTGACAACATAGTGAGACCCTGTTTCAAAAAACAAAACAAACAAAACAACAAACAAAAGGAAATTACTTTGAGGGACTGGAGAGATAGCTCAGTGGTTAAGAGTACTGGCTGCTCTTGCAGAGGACCCAGGTTCGATTCCTAACACCCACATGGCAGCTAACAACTCCAGTTCTAGGGGAATCCAAAGCTCTCTTCTGACCTCCACAGGCATTGCATGACATGGGTGCAGTACACATATGCAGGCAATTTACTCATGCACATAAAATGAAAATATTAAATAGAATATTAAAAAAATAAATTACTTTGAGGAAGTAAGGATTGAGTTCCTATATAAATTCATGTTTTGGTATTAGTTTTGAGGCCAGGGGTTAAAAGTACATACTGGTTTGTTTCCCAATACCCACATGATGGTTCACAGCTATCTATAACTCCAGCTCCAGGAGATCTGATGCTCTCTTCTGGCCTCCTTGGACACTAAGCACACACATAATGTACATATATACATGTAGGCAAAACACTCATAAAATTATTATAAATTTTTTTTTTAAAAAGATCAGTTTCAGATCCACGCATGGTAGCATACACCTATATAATCCCAGCACTTTGAAGACTGAGGTTGGAGCATGAGTTTCAGGCCAGCCTGGGCTACCTAGCAAGATCCCCATCTCAAAAAGAAAAAAATGACACCCATTCTTGGTTCTATGTCTTTTTAAATGTAATTCATAATATTTTGTTTCATTTTTGCTAACATACTTTCCCTTAAATCTTCTTTCAAATGAAGATATAAATGAAAACCACACATAAAGTATCATTTAAAATATTTTATTTAGCCTGTAAAATCTAAATGTATTTTCCAATAAAAATTCCCTAGACTAAGTGACAGAAGTAAACCCTGTTTTCTTAAGTGGAGGTAGACTTCCTGAGACCTCCATCAAATTTGATTTCTAGCTGCTTTCATCCTCTTGGGAATGAGTTCCAGTGGCCTCATTTCTCAGTCTTACATCATATATGGTTGTTAGAAGGTCATGACTATTAAGGTAGAACTTAAAGACAATATTGAGGCCTCATTTTTCCGTGACTCCTTGTTTGAGTTCCCCTCAAACATTTAAAAGTAGAATAGTGTGTTAGAAATTTCCCTGTAGTACTCCTAACCAAATTTTTCTGTTTTCATTTTCTCTGGTTTTGATTAGCCTCAGGTTGTGAGAGGGGGGGGAGGGGAATGTGGAACAGGAGAGGTATTCAAAACTGTCATTTTGGATTCCTTAGCCAGTCCTTCTAAGAAAACTATGAAAAATTATGTATGTATTCGGATTTGTGCAGCTTTATGGACCCAGAAATAATCAAGAACACTGTGACGTGCTTTCTTCCAGCAATTTCTAAGTATAACAACCGAGCTGATTTTTCAGCAATAAGCTCAGTACCAGTTTAGGAAGAAGAATAAGCTTCAAATCTTGACTCTACCACCGTATCAACTGAGTAGACTGGATAAGTTACTAAAGTCTAAGGCTTAGTTCCACCATGAGATGTTATATGTGAAGTGATAGCACAGTGTGGAATGCACAGCAGATGACTAGAAACTTTGACACCACCCCCACTTCCCCATCTTCCTTCTGCCTTGTCACTAACAGCTGTAAGAATTAAATGAACCTAGCAAAGACCCTGCCTTGAAGGACATCACTGTCTCACTGCATGAGGCCCAGGTAGCTCTGACTGACGAAGCTGCAGAAGAGGTGCTGTGTTATTTTAGCGGACCGAACTTCTGGAAAATGAGGGTGGGTTTTACAAAGGGGGACCCTTCAAGAGTTTTATGTTTTACAAAGCCTGCTTTCACTTGTCTTCCAAGTGCATCATCCTCTTTACTGTGCTTTGTTTTTTGCCATTTCCAATGTAGTTGAACAGCATTCTTCAATTCTCTGATTCACTTCTCTTTTCATGACCTATTTTAGGCCGCTTTTCAAAGCCACTGCTTTCTGTCTGTTACTCCATTCTCTTCCTTCAAAAGCCTGTTTGAAGAGTCGAAACAGTTTTTTTTTCTTTTTTCGCACAACTGTGGGTTGAACCCAGGGCTTTGTACATGCTGCACAAACGTTCTACCACTGAGCTACATCCCCATCCCCAAAAGTGAAAAATGAATGCTGGCAAATTCACATTGTTGTTCAATGTATGTTCAGGTGGACAGGAAACTTTCTTTTATGTATAAGTTCTTCAGTTTTGTTTGTTTGGGTTTTTGACACAGAGTCTTCCTGTTGCCCCAGATAGCCTAGAACTTGCTATGTAGACCAGGCTGACCTTGATCTTACAGAGATAGGTCCACCAGTCTCTGCCTCCCAAGTGCTGGGATTAAAGACATGTGACACCATGCCTGGTGTTCTTTTTACCTCTAAACTGCTTATTAGTAATAATAAGTTCTGGGGAATGGCCTAAGAACATGGATCAGTGGAACAGTCAACAGTGGAATAACAGTAAGCTCATTTTTGCAAAACAGTATTTTTTAACAATAATGTAATATATAAAAGTAATAATTAGGAAAAACCTGAATTAAAAACCAGAATAGTGTTAGCTGGTTTTGTTTGTTTGTTTGGTTTTGGTTTTTTTCCTTAAGTCCTTAAGATTTGCCTGTTACTTTCAGAAGAGAAGTGGTCTGGAGATGATCCAGTTTTGGATTCCAGGAGACCTGAAGTGACATCTGCTTTTTCCAATGACGACTGACCTTGAGAAAATTCTCTTCAAACCTTCCATCTGTTCAATGGAGATAGTCATTCTAGTTGCTCACAGAACAGGATTACTACAGATAGACTGGAGGACTTTGAAAAGCACATTGCTGCTAGGAGGAAACATACATAATGAATTGCAGATGGATTCGTTATAATCTGTCTGGGTATACCAGAAAGCCCACTTTTGTTGGCTCAGGCAGGATCTCAAATTCTATGTAACCTGGGTTACATAGTGAGACCCTATTTTTAAAACAACATTGACTTCTACAGAACTTTTATGTTTTTGCTATGTATATATATACATGTGTATATGTAGATACATGTGAAGACCAGAAATCAACCTTTGATGTCCTCCTCAGGTGCCATCCACCTTGTTTCTTTGGGATAGGGTCTCTCACTGAGACCTGAAGCTAATAGATTCAGGTAGGCTAGCACTAGCAGCAAGCTCCAGAGATCTGCCTGTCTGCCTCCCCAGCACCAGGACTATAAGCACACCATTTTTTACATGGGTGCCAGGGATTGAACTCGGGTCCTCATGGTTACCAATTAAATTATCTCCCCAGCCTGTTATACAGAACCTTATAACATTAGGAAATTTTTTTCTTTCCTGCATTGTTAATTGGTGTTATCAGATACCAGACATACAGGCATTTTAAACTTTAGGCCTATTTTTGCCTTTTAAATCTGTTATCTTTGAGTTTTAGTTTTTGGTGCTAAGGACTGAACCATTGCCTCACATGTGCTAAGTACATGCTCTCCTGTTGGGCTCTCTTCCCCAGGCTCTGCCCCCACTTTGCCTTGAATATGTTCTGTTTTGTGTTAAACTGTAGGTGTGCCTTACTATGGAAGATGTGGTACTGGGATGAGAATGGGGGTACATGAGGAGCAAAGCTCACATGCGCCATAGCGTGTTTTCATTTCTATCTTTGGATAGTTATGTTTTGGTGAAGAGAAATATGTTTGTTTCCATTTGGGGACAATATACTAGCTCTACCCAGTAGACGTGAGCTGAGAAGCTGTCACTGATGTCTTTCGGGTAAGACCAAATCTTGGGAAATAAATGCTACCCAGAATTGTGAGATCACACTTGAGCCCACGTTTGCCTTCCCTCTTTCTGATATATTTCTCTTTGCTTCCAGCAGGCTCATTTTCAATATTCTCAACCTTTGGAGACAGAGGGAAATGACCATGACAGAATCAAATTTCCCTTGTAATGTCTTGGAGAAATAGATGTATGTTTTTGAAAAACTGTCTTTAAGAAATATTTTTATTTATTATTTTTTGTGTATGAGTGTATTGCCTGCATTTTGTGTAAGTGTACCCGTGTAGTGCAGTGCCCTTGGAGGTCAGAAGACAATGTCGGATCCTCTGAGAATGGAGTTACTGATGTCTGGTAGCCAACATTTAGGTGCTAGGAACCAAACCCAGGTCCTCTGCAAGAGCAGCCAGTATTCTTAACCACTGAGCTATCTCTCCAGCCCCCCAAACTTTTTATTTATTTATTTTTTTAATGTGGCTGATGAGGTGGCACAATGGTTAGTTACTTGCCACTGAGCCTAACAACCCAAGTTTGATCGCTGGAAGCCATGTGATAGAAGGAGAGAACTGTCCTCAGATCTCTGCATGTGTACCATTACATGTACATGTGCATATACACACACAAATAAATATTCTGATAAAAATGTGAATAGAATAAGTCTATATCTACAAAATTAGTTCAGGTTTGTGCCAAGTGCTCTGGGCTGTATAGTACCAGGCCAGCTATGACAGTGTGGTGAGGCCCTACCCCCCCAACTGCTGACCCCCGCTGCAAAGAAAAGAACTTCTACAAATGAACAGCTTATGAAAGAATAAAGTACAACTTTAAACAATAATCATTTGTTCTTTCACACAAGTTTAATGCATCAACAATCAATGCTAAGGAGCTGGAGAGATGGCTCAGTGGTTAAGAGCGCTGGTTGCTCTTGTTGAGGACCTTGGTTTGGTTCCTAGCACCTACATGGTGACTAACAGACATCGGTAACTCCGGTTCCAGGGGATCCGATGCCCTCTTCTGACCTCTGCTGGTACTGCGCAACACAGGCACACATATATGCAGGCAATACACATATACACATAAAATAAAAATAAGCATACACATAAGTAAAATATTTTTTCTTTTTTTTTAACTTTTACAAAAACTTTATTGAGAATTTAATACATGTACATAAGGGGTTTTGATCAAATCCATGCCCACTCCCTCCCCTCTAACATTACCCCCTCTGAAGAGGTAACCCTAAAATCTTTTTAAAAAAATCAATGCTGAGCGTGGTGTGTGTGTTTGTAGTCCCAAACACTTGGGAGGTGTAGGCAGGAAGACCAGAAGTTTATGATCATTCTTAGCTACATAGAGGGTTCCAGGCCAGCCTAGGTTACATGAGACCTAAGTGTCCCTCAGTTGAAGAGTAGATAATGAAAATGTGGTTCATTTATACTATGGAGTTTTACTCAGCAGTAAAGAAAGATGAAATCATGAAATTTGCAGGTAAATGGATGCAACTAGAAACTGTTATACTAAGTGAAGTAACACAGAATCAGAAAAAAAATTGAAGCGACATATGTTCTCCCTCAAATGTGGATCCTAGAACCAAACCCTGATAAGTGAGTATGTATCCAGACGTAACTACAGGAACCAGGATAATGGAAAGGAAACAGGGAGGTAAAGGAAAAGAAAGAACCTGAAAGAGAAGAACAGTAGGAAACAGGCCTTAATAAGGGAGATATGGATAAAAATTGGGTTAGTTTAAGGGAGGGGGGTATAGAAAGAGCTCAAGAGAGGTAGGACCGTAGGAGAAGGGTATTAGTAGTAGGGAGAAGGGGGAAATGGGGGCACCTTAAGTGGGAAAACCATGATGGAGGGGTGAGGCAATGAGATAAACAATGCCTAGCTAGTTTTGAAAACCAGAGGGAACCATATTACTCCTATAACCTTCTGACAAATTATACAAAGCAGACCAAGAAATATATGTCTAGGTAAGGTTTATCTACATGACACACAGTAATTAAAAGTACAAGACTGATGGAACTAACCTTCTTGGATGTTTAATACACACACTTTGAGGCCTATAATAATTTGGTCAGAGGGACATAAAGGACAGTTTTTGTTCCTTGCCCTCCTAGGTCGACTAGTTCCAGGGGACTATGAGCATCTCTCAAAATGTCCTGTAATGGTGGTGGGTCACCTGTCCTCTTGATCAAGGAGGCTGAGGAGACTCCACCAGATGGACTTGAATCAGTGTCCAGTCTACAAAGAGGAGGGTCAACACAGAGGAATCA